TCCTTTGTGATCTTGCTAATTATGGAAGCATTTTAAAACCCTGCTGCTATGGGACATATTATATAGAATGAAGTGAGAATCCACTGGATTAACAGGCTCTTACTACTAAAAAAAAATTTTTAAGACGTGGTGTCTACCATTTCAAAAAGCATGAAGGGTGAGGAGTGGATATTAAAATTGGCCATGAGTTGATAGTTGTTGAAAGAGTAATAAGTAAATGGAATTCACAATACTCATTAAGCTCTTTCAGCGCTTTTTTTTTTTTTTTTTTTGACAGAGTCTCTTGCAGCTCAGGCTGGCCTCAAACCAAACATGTAACAGAAAATGACCTTGAACTGATCCTCCTTCCTTCGCCTCCCAAGTGACAAGTGTGCACCACTACACCTGGTTTATGTGATCCTGGGGAATCTAGCACAAGATTTCATGCATGCTGAGGGAGTGCTCTACTAACTGAGCTATATGCCCGGCTCTGTTTCAAAGGGTCTCAAAAGACTTAAAAAACCAGTAAGTGCAATCTACAGCATTTAGCCTAAAATGCTTAGGACTTGCTTATTCTCTGACCACATTATAATAATATCACAACATGTATAAAGCTACTCTACATAACTGCTTGCTATCTGCTGTTATATTCCAGGGGGCTCCAGGATACATTGATTTTGTTAATCCATTCTAAAAATGCCCTCTACTTTGGTTAAAAACTCCTATGTCTAATTTTTTTTTTCACAATGTAATAAAATGGTTTATTTTTCTGAGTACATATGTGAATGAAATCTGCCTGGAATTAGGAGTAAGCAAGGTGTTTTTTTTTAAAAAAAAAAAAAAAAGGTTCAAGAGATTGCAACATGTTGAAAGAATCAGGTGGGCTTAGCTCTCTGGATCACTGTGCACTCTCTACTGACTATTCTCCAACTCTTAAGTCTGTGAAGCTCCTGAAATTCGAGTCCAGGAGAAATTGCCTTTAAAACTGTGCTTTTGAGCTGAAGAGGTTGCTCAGTGGTTAAGAGCATGTCCTGCTCCTACGGAGACCTGAGTTTGGTTCCCAGCACCATACCAGGTGACGCACAACCACCTTTACCCGATTCAAGGTATCTCATACGCTCTTCTGATCTCTTTGAGCACTGGCAGGCAGAATATTGGACATGTTGGTGAAACAATTAGTACCCCTGTTCCCTGTTGATGGGAAAGTAAAACAGTGTGTGGTAATGTCACTACAGAAAGGGCACAGAGGCACCCTGGGATGCTGGTCATGTTATGTTCTGTGATCCGGGTTCTACTTATACAGGTGTGTTTACTTTGTAAGACGTCTTCTATGGACATTTTGTACTTTTCTACATGTATAGTATACCTCAAAATATGTTAATGAGAGGGAGGCTAGGAGAGGCTTCAAGTCAGTAAGTGCCTACATGGCAAGCATGAAAACCTGAGTTTGCTCCCCAATACACATTAAAAAAAATAAAGCCAGCTACTGTGGCATGCACCTATAATCCTGGCACTGAGGAAGCGGAGACAAGAGGATCCCTGGGGACTGCTGGCCGGCCAGCCTAGCAAAACGTCTCTGGGGGTCTCTTCTGTGTTTTCTCCTTTGTGGTCTTGCCATGGTTTGAGTGTGTCACTCATTTGTTCATGTGTTGCAAAACTGGTCCCCCGTGTGGGGATAAAAAGGGTGGTAGATGCTGTGAGAGGTGGAGCCTTGTGAGAGGGCACAGTGGCTGCCGTTAGGAGAAAGTGATATCATTTTATGAGGCCTCTGTTAAGCCTGGCAAAAGGCTTCTTAGAAAGGAACAAGATTGGCCCATGCCCCTTGCTTTGGCTTCCTGTCTTATCATCTGCTCTTTCTCCCTGTATTCCCACCATGATGCTGTCCACCATGATCTGATGCAGCCAGGAAGACCCTCACCAGAGACCAAATCACTAAATGAATGACCCCCTTTTCTTTTCTTTTCTTTTTTTCTTTTTCTCTTGGTTTTTCGAAACAGGGTTTCTCTGTGTAGCTTTATGCCTTTCCTGGAACTCACTCTGTAGACCAGGCTGGCCTCAAACTCACAAAGATCCGCCTGCCTCTGCCTCCCGAGTGCTGGGATTGAAGGCGTGCGCCACCACCGCCCGGCCCAACCCCTTTTCTTTATAAGGTATCCAACTGGTCTTCCTCTCCAGTCCATGTGAATTAGCTTCCTTGATGTTCTGAAACTTGGCATGTGTGTTCCTGCTGCAAGGCCTTGCAGGTCTCTTGGCCTAGAACGTTCTTCTTTCATTGATCCCCATGAATCATTCCCCTGCCTCCTTTATACCTCTTCTAGAAAGTGCTGTTTTCACTGGGGGCCTCCTTGACTACCTTAAAAATGTAAAACAGCCTCACACCTCTGCACCCTGCTATCCCAAGGTCTCCATCACTTCCCTTGGTTTTTCTCTGGCACTTGGCACTTTTGATAATGAATAATGTGAGTGTGGGAATTTTCACATTTTGCTGACATTTTACTGACCTATTCCCAGTGTCGATAACAGTATGTGAGGCCAGCAAGGTGGCTAAGCAGGTCTTGCCACAAAGCCTAGTAAGCTGAGTTCAGTCCTGGGACCCCATGGTGGAAGGAGAGAACCTTACTCCCCAAAACTGTTTCCTGACCACCTCACCCACGCCATGGCATGTGTGTGTCCTGCTACCCACCCCATACATAAATGTAACAAAGAATTCAATAACAATGTGTGATAAATAACAAGAACTCAGTTCATATGTGTGGAAGGAATGATTTTATTGGTTGTCAGTACATCAAGATTTATAAAAGTGAGAATTATAACTTATTCACCTTTGCAATAAATAATGACTAAGTGGAATACATAGATCTTTGGTTTGGTCAGTGAAGGCACTCTAAATAGGCAAGCGAAGATATTAATCTCCATTTTTAAACAGCTTACCTGACCTCTCCAACTAAACTATATGTCCCAAAGTTAGCAGCTGCTTTTCTTCTCTCAAGAGACGACTGCCACCAAACCAAGAACAAATATAATGAGCAGCACGTGCGACAAAGACACAGTTATTAAAGTACAGCCCAGTGATGGCCAGACCTCAGAGAGGAGGAAATGAAGCCTTGGAGGGTGATACAAGTATAATAGCTCGATTCAGTTATGAGGCTTTTCCTTCCCAGAGAAAGGTTACAGAAACAGATAAGACCCGGGAAGGAAAACTCAGCAGATGTGCTGGCTTCCCTGTGTGACCTTGAAAGTACACCCAGCAAGGTGAAGTTTGCTCCTTCTGATTAGATGGGCTCATGCTGTTCAAACAAACAAAAACCCGACTTTCATCCACCTGCTTCGTTTTCAAAAGAAACTTTTAATTTTGGAAAATTCCAGAAACTTGTTTCCTAGAAAATGACAAGTCCACAGACCAATAGCTTGAATGTATTTATATGAAAAGCTACAGCTCAGTCATATGAACAACGCTTTCAGGGGACCTTGACCATGAAGCCATGAAGACGTAACTTCTGGGAGGTCTCCCTACACACATCCCACAGGGCAGCAGCCCCTCCTCCTTCCTCCTCCATGAAGGGCCAGGAATAGTCACTGCTGCTGGCAACAGATTTCATGACACTGTCACCAAGCCTGTAACTGCCCACTAGTCACCTCTGAGGTAAGGCTAGGAGCAAAGGACTCAATGTTACAGTGTTGGGTAAGTCTGTAGTGATAATGCCCATTACCCAGGGTGGCCAATATTTAAAAAAGGGAATTGCTGACTTTGAAATAGAAAATTCTGCTGGGCAGTGGTGGCGCACATCTTTAATCCCAGCACTCGGGAGGCAGAGCCAGGCAAATCTCTGTGAGTTCGAGGCCAGACTGGTCTACAAAGTGAGTTCCAGGACAGGCTCCAAAGCTACACAGAGAAACCCTGTCTCGAAAAACCAAAAAGAAAAAAAAAAGAAAGAAAGAAAAAGAAAAATGAAAAAGAAATAAAAGAAATAGAAAATTCCACCAGGCATGGTGATGCACCCATTTAATCCAGCACTGGGGAGGCAGAGGCAAGTGGATCTCTGAGCTCAAGGCCCACCTGGTCTACAGAGCAAGTTCCAGGACAGCCAGGGCTATATGAAGAAACCCTGTCTCAAAACCGAAAGAAAAAAAAAATTCCAATCACACGCTGTTAGGGGACACAGGCACAGTAAAAGTTGGCTATAGAGAGAAAGCCTTAACTGGGTCAAGATTTGAGATGAAGAGACATGTTAACAGAACATATTGATGGAAACTTCATTCAAATTACACAAGTTAATTTGTACATAAATCCCTCTTCTGGGACACATACATAGGAAGTCGGCTATACCACATTCAAAGGTTCTGCCTATAGTTTTTAGTGTCCCTTGTTCATTACAGAATAGAATGCATACTGGCCAACAATTAGCTCTGGGTCTTCAGAGAGAAGAGATTTCACAGGGGAATGTATACCTGTAAATGTCCATATTTTAGCATGTATACATATGTATGTTCACACATTACTGTGTCCCCACAGGGAAATGCATGATCTACAGAATGGCAAATGGTGTGCCTGATACTCACATGATGAAACAAAGCAGCTTTGATTCAAGAGGTTTAAACACAGAATACTTAGGCATCTTGGTTTAGCAAGACAGAGTCACTTTCCCTTTCCAGCCTAATTATTAACAGCGCAACCTCTCCCCCTAAGTAAATGAGCTCCAGTGAAATGGCTGCTGGTACAGGATGGCAAGCTTTGGCCAGGAAGCTTCCATGCACTTCTCCTGAACACATAGTGTTCAAGCTAGTTAAATCACTCTGTCCTTCCCCTTATGGAAAAGTCAGAATCTGCCAGTGTAAACAAAATTAGGAAGGCTTTCTGTAATGAGAGAATTGGCTCTGTGATTCAGTTTGCCATCTACACAGGATGTAGAAGACTTTCCTGCCAGCCACTAGAGACTGTCCTCAACATATGAGAAAAGTCTCACACATTTTATCTGTTTAGATTATCTCTGGATTCATAGACAACACTGTAAGGATAGGACTTTGGTTTGGAAGCTATTTATTTTAAATTAACAGTACAAAAGGGGAGGGTTCTTTCCACTAAAGTTCCCCTCCTATGATCAACCCCAGGAATATTTAAAACAGAGTCTCTGTAGAGAACCCGTAAGAAAACCTTCAGCCAAACTCTAGAGTCCCTGGTCACGTGTTTTTACCTTCTTCTCCTAAGTAACAGTTCTTGCTCTAGCTCTGTGAGGAAGCCAAAGAGGGGCTCTTGGGGAGAGAACTGGGGAATAGCCACATTCACCAGCAGTAGCTCACGGGGAGCAGAGATCTACTTACCCATGCTCCAGTAGCAGCCCCCTCATCCTAGGGACACATGGAGTCCAGAGCCCCAGGCCCACCCCACGTGGCCCCAGTAAGTCCTGGCATTTTCCTGCCATGCAAGTAGCAATTGTCTTGCAGTGTGTCTCACAGTTCAGTCCCGTAGATGGCTTTGTGACGTAAATATTCTTCTAAACACTGAAGAACATTATCATCCACCTTTGGGTCAAACTTGTTGGCCAAGAGGTGATGGTTCTGAAGGATCCAGTGCAGGTCCCCAGACCCATAAATACAGACAGCCCGCTGGTGGATTCCTGAGCAAGGGGTGTAAGGCGCCCCACGCTCAATGTCTCCCTCATGGCCCTGCCACTTGGTTAGCCTTGCAATAGATCTCATGTCTGAGAGGTCAAATTTGGGGTGCAAGGGAGCCGATCCAGGCATCCATGAGGCACGCTGGAGGGTGGCCCAAAGGTGCTCATCAGGACTATAGGTGTCTTTTACCCATTCGATTAGTTGTTGGGCTTTGGAGTTGCTTAATACATGTTCAATGAAGTTTCGAGAGGCCACCATGTAGGCATTCCCCGTGAACATGGTTATGTTGTTAGGTGGAGGGGTCTTCTTCTCGCTGGTTATGTGCAATGTGTCTCTCACCTCATAATGATATCTCCAGCGGGACGTTTTGTGTGCAGGGGGTACCTCTGACTCCATGCTGTTCTGCCCATTCAATAGCTTGAGGGCCTGGACCATCTCAGCATTGGTCTTGATGGGAAAGTCTGTCCCACAGGTGTTCAGGAGGTATTTCCATGGCACAGAGCTCTGGAGCAAGTCTTCCATGCAGTTCAGGTCAGCCTGCACCCTGGACCAGGAAGCATAGACCACTGACACCAGCTTACTAGCTATGAAGACATTTGGGAAGCATGATGCAATGGCCCTGACTGCCTGCTTGAAAGTATCTGGGGACTTCTGGTCCACATGGACACAGTATATGTTCTGAGGGGTGTACACAGCTCGCAGCAGCCTTTCAAAGTTCTCAATCTTCTCATGAACCACCATGGAATACGCAATGGGGAAGTCGACCTCTTCTTTGCTCAGCGGGAACTGTATGAATTTCCTTTTAGTCTTGAATTGTTCACAGTCTGCTGTCATGCTAAGGTAGTCAGCCTCTGTGAGGGGTTGTCGATTCTTCTTAGTCTCCAGGTTATTCAGCAGTGCCTGGATCACTGCTTCATGTTCCCCTCGGGTGACCCCGGAACAGTTGACGGACCTGTTTGCTGGCAGCTTCAGGGTCTTGTACAGGAAATCCCTGCAGTGCCGGCTTCGAAATTCCTTCGAGTCCAGATCCATGACATCGAAGTCACATCTCAGTCTGAGGGACAGTTTCAGGGCAACGACAGCCAGCAGCATGTAGCAGCCCAGGGTCCACACATGATAACGCCAACAGAGCTTCCTCCATGAAATCATCTTCGCAGGTGGGGACCATCCAGCCCTGCCCAGCAGAGGAGGTGGGTGGGCTCGCTGAAGAGAACAAAGAACTTCTGGTTAAAAACTAACTCAACATGTTCCCGGGAATGTCAAAGTTCAACTCCAAACTGGAGGCAGAAGAGATTTCTTCTCTGGAGAAAAAGCTCAGGAAAGATCAGGCAAAGCGCCTGTCCACCAGGTTTGCCCAGGGAGACTCAAAACAGCCCTACCAAAGCAGTTGGCCAGACTGCCACAGGGACCGGCTCCACCCTTACCTCTGCGAGAAGCATAGAGCTGGGCTCTCTGAGTTAAAGGTGCAATTAGCTGGAGGAAGTCCCCGCCCTTCATCCCGTTCCCTTCTTCCCACCCCTGGGAGCCCTAGACAGAAATTTGATCTGGGGTTTAGAATTTCTAGGTCTGGAAACAAAATTCATACAATTGGCTCTAGCATCAATCAGTTCTAGAACCAAGTCCCTTCACAAGGAGACCCTTGCTTCTCTTGGTCAACCTCCATAGTAAGACTTCTCAGGCCATGTCACCCAACACTCAGATCTTGTGTCTGGCTAACCTTTCATTTTAAAATGCCCACAAAGAAATACTAATTAGCTGGACATGGTAGCACACATCTTTAATCCTAGAACCCAGGAGGTAGAGGCAGGCAGATTTCTGAGTTTGAGGCCAACCTATTGACATAGTGAGTTTCAGGTCAGCCTGGGCTACATAGGGAGACTCTATCTAAAAGAAAAAAAGAAAGAAAGAAAAAGAAAAAAGAAAAACAAGTAAATAGCTAACTAAATAAATAAATATAAAGCAACTCAATATTCTCCAAAAATTAACAGCAGTCAGTCAAATACTACATCTAGTTTAAAATGTATCTCTACACAGAAGTGAGCATGCTCATGTGCACAGAACATTTACTATTGTCTGTGAATGAAGACTATTCCTTTACTGTCCCATTCAATCTTTATAACCAACTAGTTAGCACTAAACTCGTTTTACGACAGAAAAACAGAAACTGAGTGAACTAGCAAATACCACTGCCTTCCTGAGTCTTTATATCTGTGAGTCTAATGCTTATTACACAAACTGTGCCTGCCTTTTAAATCCAACATAAGGTATGGAATACCACAAAGAAAAACAGACTTACAAGGGAAGAAAATCTCAAAAAATAAATTAATTAATTAAAAGTATAACGCATCCTTCCAGCAGGTTCTTTTCCTCGGTTCATCTCTTTGTGAACGTAAGGTTGTATCCTTTTCAGTAATAACTTTTGGAGTAAGATTTAAGAAAAAGAAAAAAGGAAACTCACCTTTCCTAACTTCTTGGCTGCTTGGGGGAGATTTCTCCAACCTTACGAGTCTGTGGACTGAAGGCTGGTTTGGTTCTATGTAGACAAAAAATTAACACCACAGTCCTTGCCTTCTTACCTTCCAGAGTGTATTTGCGGATGTTCACAAGACGGCCAAAGAGCACGTCCAGGCTCCTCTTGAACCTATGCAAAGGAGAAGCAGCAGGTGGCTCTGGCACTCACCTTTTGACTTCCTGTTCTCAGAAAAGGGAGTGCACTTAGTAAACCATTCAGGACTGGGTTCTCAAGCACTAGTCATCCCGGGAGGTGAAGAAGGCAGGAAAAAGCTGGCTGCATCTGAGAAAGCAAGGAAGTATTTCAACCAGAAGAGCCCAGTTTCTGCTGTGATCTCCCGCCCTGACACTGTTCACCAGTGCTCATGCAAGAACTTACCAGCCTTTCCTCTCCCACCCAATACACAGGTATACCCAGTCTCCTTTTGTGTGGAAGTAAAAATGTCACTCCTTATGTTCCTGGAACATCTCAGGAGGCAGAGACACTAAAAATACCCAAGGATTTTGCACACACACACACACACACACACACACACACACACACACACGAAAACCAGTTCAAGTTCATTCTTGAAAGCAATTTACTGCTGAGTCAAGAGGAAGGAATAAAAAGATACAAATTAAAAAAGAAAGCAAATTGCCTGTTTTCAAGTGATAGGACCCGACGCATTCAAGACCTGAAGCTTGCAGAGGAGGAAGATACAAATCAACAGCAAGTCAGTGGCTTTTCTATGTACCAGCAGCTCACTGTGAAAAAAGTCAGGAAGCCAGTACCAATCATAATAGCCTCAAAAACAAACAAAACCAATTAGGACTAAAGCTTAGCCAAAGACGGTAAAATCTGGACAAGGAAAGTGTTTAATCTGCTGGGCATGGTGATGCTTCAGGAGGCAGAGGCTGGTGGATCTCTATGAATTCAAGGCCAGCATGGGCTACATAGTGAGTTCCAGGTAGCCAAGGGTATATAGTGAGACCTTGTCTCAAAAAAAAAAAAAAAAAAAAAAAAAAGAAAAAAAAGAAAAAGAAAAAGAAAGAAAGGAAGGAAGGAAGGAAAGAAGGGAGGGGGAGGGAAGGGAAGGAAGAGAAAGAGAGAAAGAAATTATGAAGCACTAAATGTATACTAGGGTTTCAACACCAGATGAATGCCAGGGGGCACAGTAAGAAAGTGCTAATGGGCTGGAGATGGCACTGAGTGCTCTTCCAGCGGACCAGGTTCGGTTCCCAGCACCCACACGGCAGCTCTCAACTGTAACTCCAGGGTCCAACACCCTTACACAGACATACATGCAGGCAAAACACCAATGCACATACAAATAAATGAGTAATTTTTTAAAATAGAATTACATTTTTAAAAAAGGAGGAAAGAAAGAAACTGCTGACATGACAACCCCATGGTATAGTTAAGGGGAAAATTTTTTATTAGCATGAGAGAGAGAGAGAGAGAGAGAGAGAGAGAGAGAGAGAGAGAGAGAGAGATCCAGAGTCCAGAGCAGAGAGAAAAGAAAGCAGACCGGACATGGCCATGAGAGAGAAAATATCCAGATGCATGCATTTGGAAGAATTCAAAGCAAAGAGAAAGGAACAGACTGGACATGACCAGGGCTATATGTAGAGAAAGGTGAATAGCAGGGCAGAGGAAAAGACCTTGTCCCTTACAGAGGAGGGAGACCTGAGGAGAGCTAGGGTGCTAGTTTGAAATATATAACAAGTAGAATATGGGAGCGAGTAGAATTGTAAAAAGGGACTTAGAGCCTGGACACCAGCATGGTCTTTGATATGCAACCAAGGTATGGACCCATATGCCCCTCCTGCCAGAAATCAGGGAAATTACTTATTTGGCAGATCCAAACCACCTTCACGAGTTCCTGAGTACTGCTGGCTTTTACCTAACCACCAGAAATTCTCCTGTAGTCCAACTTGAGCTCCTTTCTAGACATGGACAGCCTGACCCCTAAATATGGACTGTCTGAGACCAAACACTAAAGAGAGACACTTGAAAATAGAAATACTTCACATGTTTGGCAGAATATTGAGAAAATGGCCATTTAGAAAAGTGATCTACAAATTCTTTGCAGTCTTCATCTACAACTGAATGCAATTCTAAAGAGAAACAGGGGGGGGGCTCTAAAATTTATATGGAAATACCAAAGGCTCCAAATAGCCAAAGCAATCCCAAAGTGAGGAATAAAAAGCAGTACTAGACATATCAAGTGCTTGACTTCAAAGAATATTACAGAGCCATTGTGAAAAAAATAATAGCATGCTCCTAGCATAAAAAAAGACACATGGAACAAGGAAACAGAAGACTTCAAAATAAGTCTACATTGAGCTGGGTGTGGTGGACACGCCTTTAATCCCAGCACTTGGGAGGAAGAGGCAGGTGGACCAGCTTGATCTACATAGTAAGTCCCAGTACAGCCAGGGCTAGATAGAGAGACCCTGTCTCAAACAAAACAAAACAAAACAAAAAAACAAAAAAAACAAAAACAAAAAAAAAAAAAGAAACTGACATCTAGTTCTTGATAAAAGGGCAAAAAAAAAAAAAAATGCACTGAAGAACAGACAACCTCTTTCACAAATGGTGCTATGCAAAAACTAGCCCCGTACAAAAAACAACTCAAAACAGGTCAGAAACCTTCATGTAAGACCTGAAACTTTGAAACTGGTAGGGGAAATAAGACCAAGAATTGACAAACAGGATTACATTAAAAAGCTTCTGCATAGGGGCTGCAAAGATGGCTCAGTGGTTAAGACCACTTCCTACTCTTGAAGAGGACCAGAGTTGGTTTGGTTCCCAGCACCCAGGGCAGCCTGTAACTCCAGCTCCAAGGGATCCAGTTCCCTCTTCTGGCCTCTGCAGGTACCTGCACATACATGGCTTACACTCACACAAACACACACATATACACAAGATAAAAAATAAATCTTTAAGAGGTTAAGAGCATTGGCTGCTCTCCCAGAGGTCCTGAGTTCAATTCCTAGCCACCACATCACAGTTCACAACCATTTATAATGAAATCTGGTGCCCTCTTCTGGTGTGCAGGCAGAACACTATACATAATAAGTAACATAGATCTTTTAAAAAAAAATTTTTTTTTCGAGACAGGGTTTCTTTGTGTAGCTTTGCGCCTTTCCTGGAACTCACTTGGTAGCCCAGGCTGGCCTCGAACTCACAGAGATCCGCCTGGCTCTGCCTCCTGAGTGCTGGGATTAAAGGCGTGTGCCACCACCGCCTGGCCTCTTTAAAAATCTTTAAAAATAAATTCAACAATAAATAATCCAGCCAACAAATGGGCAAATGAACTTAACAATTTTCCAATCAAGAAACACAAATAACCAATAAGTACATGAGAAAATGTACCCATTCATATCAGGGAGATGCAAATCACTGAGATTCAATCTTACTGCAGTCAGCATAGCTATTTAAAAAAAAAAGCAAATGTTGATAGGGTTGGTGAACCCTTGTACATTTATAGTGGGAATGTAAATTAGTCCAGCCACTATGGAAATCAGTATTCAGATTTACAAAAGAAAAAAACGAAAATGGAACCTCTCTGTGACCCAGCTATACCATTTGTCAGTATCCACCTGAAGGTACCAAAGTTAGCTTACCATGGAGATGCTTGCAGACTCATGTTTATTGTATCATAATTTACAACAGCCAAGTTAAGAAATCCACCTAGATACATGTCAATAGATGAACAGAAAAAGCAGGTTCAGAAAATCGGGTACAGCATGTTTACTCTCCTGTGGACTCTGGCATGGGGAGGGGACCCGACATGGGCGTTTATGAAAATAACAAGGGGCCATTAAGGATAGAGAAGGGGAAAGAGAATGTGGGGGAAGACGAATATGATCAAAGCACATTGTGTACATGAGCTGTCATAATAAAACTCTTTACCTTGTACAATGCTCACTAATTTGAAAAACTTATTTGTTCACAATAAGACATCAGGAGTCCCTTATGTCTGTCTGTGGTGGCTATAGTAACCTGTAGGTCACAGAACGACCCACAGCCATCCAGGGTAGAACTAACTCACTGTGACATCTGACAGGAGTGTTGCTGACAGTCTGGAGAATGAATTACACTTTGGGATGTCGGGCTTCACTGAACACATCAGATGTGGTCTTTGCAATGAAATGTGGGAGGTGTCTTTTTCAAAGCTGCTGGTGTCTGTTCCCGCCCCAGCTACCTCTAACAAAGGGCGCCATTCCCTGGCAAATTTCTGAAGAAAACAATATAGGGGGCTTATCTAGGAGGTTGGGAGTGCAGATCTGCGGTCGAGTGCTTGTGTGGCATATGTGAAGTTCTGGGTTCAATCACCAGCACCCCCAAACCCAAAGGATCAAGGTATGAAGTAATAACTGATATGGGGGGGGGGGTGGCATTCAGGTAGAAGCCATTGGAAGAAGCTACTACTCTACCACTCTTTGGCTGGAGAAATCAAGAAATGGAGAATTGTCAAAATTGAAATTTGGATAGAGAGCCCCTAGAAGCTTAACCTCCGACCTCTGAGGAAGGGGTCACTGCTCAACTAGAGCGAGGTCTCTAAGCTCAGGGGCCCTAGGCTAAGGTCCAGACCTCTCAAAGGCAGCAGAGGTCGTTCCTGTAAACTGGCCATGGTGCAGCTACAAAAATAAAATGAACGGCCTCTAAGAGGTCAGTAGGCGTTGACATGGTGATGCTCACAGAAACAGGAAATAGGAAGAGAACCGGAAGTCCCTCCTCCAGTCTGGCTAGTTTATCAGCGCCCCCTACTGGCAGAGCCTAGCAAGGCACTGCTGGCAAACCAGACTGGTTTCAGACCTGCTGCCAACATTGCAAAATAAAGTGTAGAGAGACGGGTCTCGTCTGAGACAGTAAATGTACATTTTCACTATTTTAGAAGTAGGGAATATGTCTTCTTTGTTTGTTTGCTTTTTTTTTTTTTTTCGTTTTTCGAGACAGGGTTTCTCTGTGTAGCTTTGGGCCTTTCCTGGATCTCGCTCTGTAGACTAGGCTGACCTCGAACTCACAGAGATCCACCTGCCTCTGCTTCCCGAGTGCTGGGATTAAAGGCATGTGCCACCACCGCTCAGCTTGTATGTTTGCTTTTTCTTGTCCTTCTTGCACTTTCTGAACAGAGATAGAAAGCAATAGAGGTGCGTAGGGTTCCTTGCGCCCCTACTTTCATTGGCCTGGCTCTCTAGATTCTGTCTTCTGTCAGCATCCGGGCTCTTTATTCCTATGATGTTCCATTGTTGGCCTGTAGAAATCTCTGAGGCAAAAATATTAAAGCATAATATCCAAGTCTAGAAAAACTCTTTCCAATATCCTTTTAGATGGTTTTTCTCTGATAGCGCCCTCTAGTCCCTTCCTCCCATAAAAACCTACATTATAGAGTCAATAAAGAGAACATATTTTATTCTTAAGATGACCCAAAAAGGTGCTTGAAAAATGTATGTAAGAATCACGTTAGCCAGCTATGGAACTATTTTGCGGAAATAATCTGCATGTTAACGACACTGCATGCAGAGCAGTTAAAAACAAGTGTGGGACTTGGCTGAAGAGGCCGGGTCTGAATCTTCGTTATACTGGCTTCTGCCTGGAGCAAATGCTTCCAGCAGTCTGTGCCCTGGTGACGTCTCCCGTACAGTAGGTACTGAAACCTGAATTACAGGCTTTTTGTAATGACCTCTTTGTTTTTTTTTTAAGGATTTTCTTACACACACACACACACACACACACACACACACACACCACACACACACACACACACACACGATGTATAGTTGTAAGTACTCAGAAAAACAGAAAGGAGGTGTCACAGTCCCACCCTGGAGCTGAGTTACAGGCGGCTGTGAGCTTCCCTGCATGGGCATTGGGAGCTGAACTCAGAGCCTCTGCCAGAGCAGTGTCTGCTTTCAACTGCTGAGCCATCTCTCCAGCCCCTGAAGATGTTTTTAATTGTGTGTGCTCGAGTCTGTGTGTCTGTGTGTGTGTGTCTGTGTGTGTGTGTGTCTGTGTGTGTGCGTGCAAGTGCCCTTAGAAGCCAGAAGAGGGTGTTAGAGTAACTCCTCTGGAGTTGGAGTTACAGGTGGGTCCAAGGTACCTGACATGGGTGCTGGGAACTGAACTTGGTTCCTCTATAAGGATATGCTCTTCATCACTGAGCTGTTGCTCCAGCCCCTGTTGTAACAATAACACATGAAGAGCTGGGCAGATGCAGCCTGAACACTGGCAATCCCTCATTGAAGATTATCAGTAAATTCTCAGTGTCAGCCCACAAAGACCAAATTTACTCACAGAATAACTCAAGAAGGGTACAAATAGCATTTGTGAGTCAAGACCAGTGGTTCTCAAACTATGGGACAAAACCCCTCTGGGGTTTAACCAACCCTTTCACAGGGGTGGAATGTCAGATAGCCTGAATATCAGATATTTACATTATGATTCATAACAGTAGCAAAATTGCAGTTATGATGTGGCAATGAAAGTAGGTTTATGGCTGGGTTCGCCACAGCACGAGGAGCTGTATTAAAGGGTTGCAGGGTTAGGAAGGTTGAGAACCCCTGCTCTAGACCAAGCTATAGTATTGGTAGATGTGATGTGGTGACGGAAAAGACCCAGAATTCACCCACGATACACTGGAAAGGAACCCGGTGTAAGCTGTCAGGTGTAAGGTTTCCCACCCCCAGAGAGAATGCAATCAAGGACGAGCTGCATCTGACTGTGGCAGGTGAGGAGAGGGACAGAATGTGTGCACAGGGGACAGAATGTGTGCA